AACAACTAGAGGAAAAGAAAACCATGACATCAAATATGTCCTGGCTAATACAGTTTTAAATGTATATTAAGTCACTCTGCCAGGACTGAAAACTCTGGCATTATGGGTCTCCTAACAACCTATGTACACTAAGTAGGAAGCAGAGGAACCCAGTTCCCTTCAGGAAGAGGCAACATCTTTCAGGCAGTGTATCCTGCTGTCAAACACTTGAATCTTGCTTTCAGAAGCTGCCCAAGCCAGCTTTGAGCTCACCCTCCAACTGAACTCCCCACTGCAGGGCAGCCACAGCAGCGCAGGGCTTGGCACACATCCGCTGCCCATGGGCTGACCCTCTGCAGCAGTTCAACTGTGAATGATATACGAGCTGGGAATTTAAAACTAATACAGGTGTGTTGCAAAGAATTGCATCATACCTTAAAGGACATATGATTTGAAATATCTGAATTATAATTAGGACAGATTATTTCCTTTGTGAGCCAGGATAAGAATTTTGCACCCCATTTTGCCAGTTTATATATGAGAAGAGCAAAAGATTGCTTGAAATGCAATATAGACAAAGTTTGGCTGATTATTTGTATTTTGAGACCCTTTATTCCCCATGTTTAAATGAAAGCTGTAAATTTCTGATGTACTTAACGAAGACTTTTTTTTTTTTTTTTAATTTCTGGTGCATATACAAGCTTCTGGCCTGGAAGTACTGAGAATCACCTAGTCCATTAGAAATTAACACATATTCAAATATAGGCCTCAAAAGAAGACACCCCCCCCCCCTACATCTTCCATCAGGCAGGTTTTTCCTGAATCCAAATAGCAATGAATATGGCACTCATGTTCACATTCATCTACTCATGGTAACATCTAAGGACTGCTTAGTTCTGACATTGAGTCACACATCCTACCTGTCAGAAGGGATAATTACTCCTCTGTGTTACCTTAACTGAATTATCTCAAAAGCAAAAGATGAAATGTCCTGGGTTTACTCATAACACTCTCACAAGAGAGATTTATGGGGTAGCAGTAAAAATTTAAGTCTCTTTCTCATATGATCCTAGCTAAAAGCTCTCCCTCCTCTCATCTGATTTCAACTTGCTTCAAGAGTATCTGTCTTATACGTAAATGTAGAAAAAACTTTAAGAGTTATCAAAAACCCCAATATGCACAAAACCCCCCAGTATGTATAATTGTGGAATTAATCTGAATGAGTTTTGGTTTTTGGAGGGAAAACATCCTGTGTCAGTTTTAGCATTTTTTGAGCAATGTGGAAATTCCCAGTGTTCACCTTAAGGGCCCAAGTGCCTTTGAACCCAAATTGCCAATGGCTGAACAGTGGTACAGAATTATTCTTAAAATAAATGATCCCTTAATCGAAATTGGATGACTAACAAGCATAAAATTACAGCTCTAATACCACATATAATCGTTTATCTCATTGCAAAGAGGCATACATCATTTGCATTGTATTCCTGTAGTGTTTTATATCCACTTTACCATAATCTAAATGAGCATGCACAGCACAGACAAATGGAGATTCTAGCCCGTCTTACGCATTTGCCTGGGGAACATGATTTTGTTTGTTGTGGGTGCTTTAAAAAATTGTGATGTATAAATAAACATGTTAAAACATTTTTTAAGGTTTAATAAATGTTTTTAACTGTTTAAACTGTTTTAACTGTTTAAACGTTTTTAACAGTTTTAACTGTTAAAGACTGTTTTAACTGTTTTAACTGTTAAAGACAGTTCAGTGGGCACGCACACTGCCTGAGCAGTTAAAATTGAGAGATAAATTTTTCAGAAAGAAGGGAATTTTTTTAAATTTTTTTCTTTTTAAATCGGACAGCAATTTTAATAAAGTATATTTGAAACTTATATGACTTATGGAATAAATTCACTAAAGAGAATTTAAACCTGTGGATATATCAGCTCAGCATGTGGGTATTGCCAACCACATTTACAGACCAAAATAGTTATTATTTTCTTCTGTCCATTTCTCATTATCTGGGATTTGCTTAACAGTCCAAGCCAGAAACAGCTTTAAACAACCTTAAAAACTTATAAAAATGGCAAGCACCGAAGTATGCATTTCTTTCCTTGAAATTACTTCTGCACAAATGCTGTAAGAAGTTTTCGCTTCTCCGTCTGCAACACCCCTCCTATGCCTGAAACCACTGCAGCTGTGAAGTTCAATAATGCATAGTCCTTTAGGGAGAGCAAGTATGACTTCACGTGACACTATTTGCAAGAGCTGATTCCCAGCTCCCATGTAGGACTTCACGTCTTTTTCTGACCTTGCAGATCTGGCACTTAAAACTCTGGCATTTGTATGAGAGAAGCTGGTTATTTTTAGAGAGCTTTATGTCTTCTTTCCTCTTCATGGAGAAAACTCAGCACAACTGATCTTGCAGTAGAGAAGCATGAGATGCTTTACAAGCAGAAAGACACACATGCTAAAATATGTAGTAAAATTCTCTTGTATATTCTTAAGATCATTTATCTGTAACATACGTGGCATGAAGATGAAAATATGACATGATCTAAAAGTTTTATTGTTCCTTCACTTGGACTGACATGCATTACACACTGCTTGATTCACCATTTGTGCAACATACTTTTCTGATTCTGTCCACAATCTAAAGCTACAATCCAAAAAACTAAGATCAGTACAAGCTTGACAGAGATTAACCTCAAAATTAAACTACAGCTACATTAAAGAACTGTCAATTTCTACCTTACGGTATTTGTCCAAAGAATGGGAACATAACAGAGATGCTAGGAGGATGAATTGAAGATGTCCCTGCTCATTCCCCAGTGGTTGGACTAGATGAACTTTAAAGATCCTTTCCAACCCAAACAATGGGCAAGTAACTAGGTGGATGGATGATGGTAGAGCAGTAGATGGTTTTTTCTTGATTTCAGTAAGGCATTTGATACTGTCTCCCACAGCATCCTCATAGATAAGCTAAGGAAGCGTGGGCTTGATGATCAGGTAGTGAGGCGGATCAAGAATGGTTGGAAGGAAGAAGGCAGAGAGTTGTGGTCAATGGGGCAGAATCTAGCTGGAGGTCTGTGACTAGTGGAGTCCCTCAGGGGTCGGTGCTGGGACCAGTGCTGTTTAATTTTCATCAGTGACCTGGATGAGGGAACTGAATGTACCCTCAGCAAGTTTGCTGATGATACTAAACTGGGAGGAGTGGCTGACACACCAGAGGGCTGTGTTGCCATTCAGCGAGACCTGGACAGGCTGGAGAGTTGGGCGCAGAGGAACTTGATGAAATTCAACAAGGGCAAGTGTAGAGTCTTCCATCTGGGGAAGAACAACCCCATGTACCAGTACAGGTTGGGGGCTGACCTGCTGGACAGCAGTGAAGGGGAAAGGGACCTGGGGGTCCTGGTGGATAGGAGGATGACCATGAGCCAGCAATGTGCCCTTGTGGCCAAGAAGGCCAATGGCATCCTAGGGTGCATTAGAAAGGGTGTGGGTAGTAGGTCAAGAGAGGTTCTCCTCCCCCTCTACTCTGCCCTGGTGAGACCGCATCTGGAATATTGTGTCCAGTTCTGGGCCCCTCAGTTCAAGAAGGACAGGGACCTGCTGGAGAGAGTCCAGCGCAGGGCAACTAAGATGATTAAGGGAATGGAACATCTCTCTTATGAGGAGAGGCTGAGGGAGCTGGGACTCTTTAGCTTGGAGAAGAGGAGACTGAGGGGTGACCTCATCAATGTTTACAAATATGTAAAGGGTGAGTGTCAGGATGATGGAGCTGGGTTTTTTTCAGTGATGTCCAGTGATAGGACAAGGGGCAATGGGTGCAAACTGGAGCATAGGAGGTTCCATGTGAACATCAGGAAAAATTTCTTTACTGTGAGAGTGACAGAGCACTGGAACAGGTTGCCCAGGGGGGTTGTGGAGTCTCCTACGTTGGAGATATTCAAGGCCCGCCTGGACAAGTTCCTGTGTGATGTACTCTAGGTTACCCTGCTCTTGCAGGGGGGTTGGACTAGATGATCTTTTGAGGTCCCTTCCAACCCTTAGGATTCTGTGATTCTATTATTCTGTGATCCTATGAATGAGCCTCAGCAAAATAAAACAGATAGCTGGCTACTCTGCACAGCTCATTAAAACCTTTAGAGCTCAGCACAGTGTAATCCATCTTTTGCCATCAATCCATCTTGTATTTATTTAGCGCTTATGAGAATAAATACGTACAAATATTACAGGTAGCTATACAATATGTTTATATGTAGAAATTAAGTATTCTATTTTATCAAACTGAGTAAGCATTGAGCAGATGTTTTATTACCTGCATGTCCAGCTCTTATTATTGATTGACATTCAGTGTTCTGCTGCTGGGGGTGGGGTCAATTGCATTCCTCTACTACTTTAAATAAAATGAAGCAGTCATTCTTTCCTTACAGCATAGCACTAAAGCCATTATTTTGTCTTTACACAAGCAGATTTTGCATTCATTAATTCTTTTTTTTTTTTTTCAAAATCAGCTCTTTCCAGTAACCTTCCTCTTGTATACCAGAATGATGTTCAGCTTTGACCACTAGTTCTGCCTCATTGGCTTCATCTCCTCTTATAAAGCATTTCCATTTAGGTTACATGCTTTCTTTCTTTCTCCTAAATTAACCTAAAACTCATTTCAGCAGCCCTGCATGTTTACCTATCTCAGCCTAGCTTTTTAGAGTAATCTATTTTGTGCATGTCTCCATATGACATAGTTTCAAGAAGCTCTTGTGTCCAGGCAAAATATGTCGTTTAGTTTCCTTTTCACTAGCTATCAGGGCTGTTCACACAGAAATTGTGCTCATTCATCAAGTTTGTTAGCCTGGTCTTTAAACAGTAGCAATTGTTCTTTCCATGTTACGCATTCCATCGACTTCTCTGTTCAACAGTCTCCCCATAATACAGAAACACCACTACCCACTCTTTGTCTTTTGATGTTTCCCTAGCTGGGAAAGGTGTGGAAAAAAAGTCATTCTAAATTCTTTTCTTACTTTACCTTTATGATTCCTCTGGAATTTGGGAATGTTATTCATCTAGATCATGTGCCTTGTCAAACTTTAATGGTTCCATATACCTAACTGTGTGCTCTGGCATAATCATAAAGCCTTCAATATCTTCTATGGGAAAATATATTCTCGTCTTCCAGATGTGACCTTCAGATTATTTTCAGAAATGCCTATACTATGGAAGAGAAAACACAATGAGTTCTCTGAAATAAATTCTTTTCTAAAAATAGCTCTCATTCATGTTGCTTTATGGCCTTGCAAGCTAGATTTGACAGGTAAATCTGTACATATTACAAGCTTTTAAAAGCATTTCTTTTTACAATATTAATGTCATTAATTAGTATTATTATTGCCAACACTAAAGTCTAAATTTTTCATATCAGCAATTTATCATCAATATCTTTATCTTTCCTTGCAGCTAGAGCTCTCCCTCTTTCTTGTGAAGCATTTTCTTCGTAAGTTGTTTTATCAAACTTGAGGTAAACTCTGGGTTATCTGGTCCAACCCATCTAGCTTACATTTGACATTTACATACTCTTCACATATGTAAGCCTATACTTTCATAGCTCTTACCTTCTGCAACAGACCGCTGTACAGAATGAAACCATCTGTAGCCATCCATAATGACACATACAGAAAGGGGGAGATGCTAAATTTGCTTCACGCTACCAGACTTGTGCCTGTGATATTGGGTGTTATAAGACAGAGGCAACAGTTTGCAGGCCCAGGAGCACATCTGAGCAATGCTGCTAGTGGGGCAGAGCAATGGAGTAACATAAATGCCCTGCTCAGACCATTTATTCATGTAGTGCAACTGACAGCTGTGGAACTCTACCGTAGACAGAGCTTGAAGATACTGCCAGAGCCAATGTATAGATGTGTGATATTACACACAGGAGAAAACCTCAACATTTCAATTCAGATTTTTTCCATGCTGCCCAGGTACCTGTCTGGTGCTCCCCAACATAGGTTACAGACTCTTGAGAGATCTTGTGTTACTAGTTCTGTGTCATTTGCCTAAATATTCCCTAACAAATGTTTTCTGCTTCCTCAGAAAAAGAGAAAGTGGATGTATATATGTATCTGTGTGGGACATGGGGAGTGGAGAGACTAACTATGCTATCAACAATAATTAGATACTGTCCAAATACCCAAGAAGGCAGTCACTATTGTAAAAGTCTTACAACATGACATAGCACGGCACAAGGCAAGCATATGACTATATAAATTAAAATACAAGCCATTTATATATTTATATGTATGCTAGATAACTATCTTTACATGGTTTTCTCCAAAGTTAGATCGTTATCTGAGTAGTAGCAGGTCCATGTTTAAGACTGCTGCAATGTAAACTTGTTCTTTCCGTTTTTCAGTAAATCAGTTTGCACTGGTCGTACTTGCACCCCTCATCAGCTAATGCTTTCACCTTCCTTGTGTGCCTTTTACTGCTATTGTGCCTTTCATCTACCGTACAATTCCCTTTCATGTACTGTCATCCTCACCTTTTTCCGTAGTAAAGAATTTCACTTTATTGTTTCTATATTTCAAGCTTGCAGTTCTCCCCACTTGCTTTTTCCAATTACCTCTTAAAAGCTTTTTCACAACGAGGTAATTAATTAAATTATTTTGATTAATTTCTAAAATTTTGTAGAGGAAATGCATAATGCAGAAGTTTGCATTATATTTTTTAGTTATGTAATTTAGGTAATTTGGAGCTTTTTTGCATTTCTTGGGACAGCAATAATGAAGCAAGCTTGCCTCTGTAGCATAGCTGGCTGGGCAAACTGTTTCTGAAAGGAGATTCCTTAATATCAGTTTCTGCTTCAATAACAGTTGCCATACATTTTCCAGTGCCTATGTAATAAAAAATAATTAAATTGTCCTTGAAGCATAGACTAGAGTCTTCCATACCCATGGAAGTAGCCTAACCACCACACTGCAAAATCAGACTTAATCTTACTCCTACTCCCTAGCTCACTGAATCTTTAAATCTTCTATAAATGAAATCTATGTATACAGTCTTTAACTGTATATATACAATCTACCATATCTTCTGGGTCAGAGTCTGAAAGTGCTTATCCTCCCCAGCAGCCTGTATACTGAGGAACTTTCCAGGTCAGACTGAGCTTGTACTAGCAGAAAAAAAGGAATGAAACGAGATGTCCTCTTGAAAAGGAGCTGAGGAGGAGGTGAGAGGAATCACCACCTACTTCTCCTCTGGTTCCCTTTCAAAAGAAAATATTGATTTTTGTTCTATCTGTTTTTCTGTGAAGAAGAGGATTAAGTGCCTACTTTCATAGTCATAAATCATGCGTGGAGAGAAATGCACAGTTAAGAACCTAAGCTCTGAAAGGGTGGGGATTTAAAACATGAGTAAGTCCTCAGGGCTTTGCTATTGCTACCTCAGATGGCTCACTGCTTAGTGTTGTGCATACCCTTATGAATCACACAATCTTTCTTTTACATTGTTAGGAATCCTACAACTTCAACTCAACAGATTCTGCCATGACCAAAGCTTAAATATCTGTAAGTTATAAATAACACTTATTTACTTCTTTTACACGTAGCACTGTATGCCTTTGATCATCCAGACACATGAAATTTTTCAGCACCTGGAACAGATTGTGAAATACATGCAGGTATATTCATACCTGCATTGTCAGGCAACATATTAATGTAGTGTATTGAAATCCCTAATGTACCAAAGGCCACCAAACTTGGTAGGTGCTGACACCACTGATGTGTGCCTTACCTTATTATTCTTGTGCCTTCCCATCTCATATACCTTACTATCATAAGCCATGCCTCGACCTGTTCTGTCTTTTGTGGCCTTGCTATAGCTCTGAAATTCTCTTCTGCTCATCCACTGATCCCTTCACCTAATGCTAGTTGCATTACCCTAGTGATGTAGCAGGTGAAAGGACAGGGGAAAGGAGCAGGGCAGAGCTGCTGGATGCACAGAGATAGTTGAAAGTTGCAGGTCCTGCAAGTAGAACATATTGCACAAGGTCTGTATTTCGAAAGAAGTGGAGGAACGAGGAAGGTTTCAAGGTTCTTGGCATCCTTATGCTGCAACTTGCAATATGATTTAGAGGTCTCTTTCTCCTCTCCCTAGCCAGGTGCACCATCAGTTCCACGGTCAGTAAGACAGAGATGGTAACTCTCCTCCTTTCACTGCCCTGCAAAACCCCAGAGAAGTTTTGTCCCAAGGCCCTAGTAGTTTTTCAACACATGCTGCTTTCATTGTATCAGCACAATGAAAGATTCAAATGGTACGACCAACTCGGAGTGCAAACAAGCACTCCCATCATGTGATTCCTCATTTATATGCCAAGTAGCTTAGCTTTATGCAAAAAGTTGAGAGGCTGAAGCTTAATGAAGCCCTAATGCTAAAACTAAAGACAATAAAGCATTCAGCTGATGGAAATAAAAATAGGATATATTTTAAGAGGATGCATATATATTTAATCAAATTTTGCCTGTCATTAAATTGTCTCAAAATGATAGGAATTACTTAGATTTATGAAGTTAGTACTTCTTTCAAATCTTTCAAATGCACAGTTTAAATAAAGACACACTGAGTAAAGAAATGCCAAAACTGCAGCTGTACTTTGTTCTCTGGGAAAAAAAGGAAAGAAGGCTAAATGACAAAATAATGAGAGAAAATGGGTGCCTAACAGAAAGAGAAACTGTCAGCTCGGGCTGTCCTCATACACTGAAAAAGTCAGTAACACTTCGGGCTGGCCATTGGTCATGAAACATCTCTGATGAAACCACAGATCTCTGAACTTTGACAAACTGTGCTAAGAAAGTTATGGAGTGTTCACGTCCATTTCCTGCAAACTTTTATTTGCATTTTTCATTTGCTAAAAAGGCAATTTTAGCTCTTAAAACAGGCATTATAAGTGAAACCCAGAACTGTGACCTGGAAAGATCATATAAATGGGATTTTTCTGTCATCTCTTTATGCTTTTGATTATTCTTGACATTGTATAATGTTAAGTTATAAATAGGAAGCATTTTGAAAATGTCATAATATCCTGAGTCTAATAAGAGAATACCAGAGATGAAAAATATTCTTAAGAAATCACGCATACATGGCAAACTCAAGATGCCAATTAAACTGGACTTCACTGCAAGGGAACTTTTTCACAAAAAAAATGTGAATTGTGAGCTCAAGCTGGAAGCTACAATGAAATGTAAACATTCCTTTTTGACAGAATGATGCTGCTTTAATAACAACAACCACAAAAGCTGAGGACTTATGGCATTACCGCATAGAACAGTGATGCTTTTTTGCCCTTTCAAGTGGATCTAATTCAGATTATGTCCCCCAGCTAACCCAAACATTCAAAGTCCTTGTACTTGTTCCTTCATCAGAACGTGAGGGTTTTTTTTTTTGAATATTCTAGCTGAATTGATTTCTTCTTCTCTCTCCTTTGTACCCCATGTATATTCTTCCCATCTATTTCTAGTTTTCCCGTGTCTAAGCTCTGCACAGGTAAAAGGACTGGTACTGCTGAAACCATGACAAGCTTCTCAGATTCTCATCAAATAAACCAAAATATCTGCTAAAAATCAAAATGAATTAATTATTTTCTGTGCTTGAACCTAAAGCAAAGAACAATTTTCACTTTAATTTGTACTGATACCTTTGCTAACAGTATAAGTAACTACAAATTCACCCCAGATTATATTTAGCCCCTAGCACATGCCTGAGCGTATTTCATAGCCTCATCATCCCTTCCCTCTGCATCATCCCTCCAGGAGGTCCTGGAGGCTGCCACTGGTAACTTCTCTAGAGTCAGAAACCTCAGCTCCGAGGCTCCCTTTTCAGGTAATGGGAAAATAAGTGTTCCTCCAGAAATGGATTCAGAACGCCTGCATTATATTCCTCCTTTTAATATTCTTTCAAAAGAACTTCACCGGCAATAATTTTGTTAAGTTATAATATTTCTTGTCTCACTAGAATTGTTTTTGACAAGTAATGAAGCCTAACTGACATTATAATAAAACTACAGCAATAAAATGGTATGTGCTGATGTAACTCGGGTGAAAAATTTCAATGAGTGATCTGTGAGATCAATAAAAATTAGAGTCTTATAGTAACTAAAATGGTTTGGAAGCATGTCAGATATGAATATGTGAAGCAGAAAAAAACACATGTAGGTAAGGCTATTTCTGCCACACCTTTACCCAAAGTGACATTTCTTCCCATTATACATTCCCATTCAAACAGTCCCTGGTTTAGACAAACAAGGCAACCAGTGATAACCCAATGAAAAATAACTCTTCTCACTCTAGAAACTCACCTTCTTGATTTACAATGAAGTGAGGCTGAGACTTTGAGTAATTACAGGTGGCTGCTCAGAAAAGAAAATAGTAGCAAACAGTAACTTGGATCAGTGTAATCTGACAGTCAGAGCTGCAGAAGGGCAAGATCTGTCACACTGCCACTGCCCCATAGTGGAATTATTGTCCACAGTAATAAGACAATGGGGATTTTCAAAACTCAATAGCTAAGAAAACAGAGTATTTTTTCACCTGATCCAAGCAAAAATATTTGGCTGTAATTGCATGACTGAAGAAAGAACACCCTTTGAAGTTAAGAGTTAACTGTCTACTAAAAATCGTCTTCTAAGATAGTTCATTTTTCTTCCAATGTCTCCTGTCTGTCCCACGTGCACACAAATTCTCCTCATTTCTGTTTTTTTTCACTTGAATGTAAAACCAGAAATTTCTCCCTCCTTTCAATCAAGATTACAGTTGATATTATTGTAATACAGCTCTTATGTGATGAACTTCTAATTTTTTGCAATGAATAAAAATTTGAACTTAGCCTGAGCTCAGCATTTTCTGAATTACTGAAAAGAATGCAGGACTTTCCTTTTCACTTTTAAGCTGTGAATTATGGGCCATCTAATTCCCTGCCAGCAACTGAAGGTCTTATATTATAAACAGTGAATTATCTTTTTACTTTTGTCAGATATATAAAAAATAAAAGAAGTCAACTTTTGGAGATACCAAAAACTTATCATAATCACTAAGAAGTCTATATAAATTGACATCTGTTGTTTGTTTTTTTTTTTTTTTTTTTTGCTTTTGTCAGCTTTTAAATGAACATTTCCTGGCCTTGATCACATTAATACAGTTAAAAGATGGTTGTGTTGGACTTGCTTCCATACACATGTACCAAACTTTTACATTAGCACTAACTGCACTCATCAGAAGTTATGGGAAAATTGTGTATACCTACTTACAGAGGTGAATTCCCAAAATGTCCAAATCCTTAAATTCATGCAAAGTTCACTTTAATTTTTTAGACAAAACCAAATAAATGTCCTTTCATGATCCATATTACTTCTGAATGCTTTAACTGCACCCAAAGTGACATTCCTCTTTCAGAGAGTTTTAGCATCTGTAACAAGTAATATTTGTAGCAAGTGAAAAGTAGGTCTTGAGAAAATCAAGCTGACATTTAGAGAGCTACATTTGGTGCAACTCAAATTCACTGCAGCTGCAGTATAAATAATCTGAGCACTGCCAAAGATGAGCTACTTATGTCTGTATACACACAGAACAATTTAAACTTCTTCACATTTATTTTCAAATAAAGGATAGTTTTATGGCTGATCAGTGCAGTGCGCATGATCTCAAGCGTGACAAAGCCATGAAATCTGAAGGAACTTGCATCACAAAGAGCCCCAAACCACACTGATTTCTTCAAAACTACTCCAGAGACCTCTCCACTGAATCCAGCTGTAATGGCGGAATTCGGTGTAATTCCCACTTAATTACGTTGAAATGCGTTTGCAGATAAAATTTTTAAAAAGGTAGAGGTTCAGGGCTCTCTACAGCACTTTATGTTTTTGATAGTGCTGGATAGAGGGGTCTGGAGGAATGCAGGCAAAGAGGTGGCTGGAATTTTTGGACCAACAATTACTACATAAAATATCTTTGTGCTACCTTTTCACCAGATACTGCACAGCAGCATATCTGTACTGATCGTGATAAGGAAGCATGGGGCACAAAAGCCCATAGGTGCTCAGTTCCTCTGCAAGTTCGGAAGGATTATGGCCTGCATGGCAAACACCCCAGCCATGGCACAGGAGCCACGTCACTCACAGGGACTAGGGGCTTCACCCAGTTGCTTTGGCTCAGTGAGACATGGAATGGAGGGAAATGAGACATTAAGGACTCAGTTGAGCCAAGCCAGCTTTAGATTTTCATGGTTAGGATTTAAGGAGGGATCTCATCTAAAGCTTTCCTTTTTGAACTCAGGTTTTTACTATCTGAAAGTCGATTTTTACAAGAAGTTTATGAAGCATGAACAGCAGGGAGATAATGATGTGCTGATTCTTTTTAAAATGGCATTGGGTACATTGGTGCTTGCCTTCTCCACATTTCAGTGTTGTCTCACAAGCACCTGCAAGTACGGGCTGCAGTAAACTGGAAAAGCAATAGGCTGTAGAATAATAATGGCAGAAATAAAAACAGAGAACTCTGCTGACAATCCTTTATTCAGATGTGGTCTCTCACCATAAGAATCACAGCTCCTGTTTCCAAGCTTAAAAATTATATGATTCAGATGGTATTTTGAAGTTTCTTTGTCCCTCTTTCTTTTCTTTTGCACACCAATTCTTTAACCCTTAGAGTTGCCTTGTCATTTTAATGCCACGTGAATAACATCCATGTTGCTGTAATGTATTCAGTTTCATTGTCAGCTATTCTTAATTTTTAAAGAAAAGCTGGACATGCTTGGAAAAGTTCCAGAGTTAACAAAAAACCCAAAACAACAAAACCCAACCAACCAAACCCAAAGAGATGTGTGTTAGTGGCAAAGAGCATTTAGCATTTTCTTAAAATCTGCATTTTTAAATTAACTCCCTTCAAAATCTTTGACTCATCTCATGAAGGAATAGAAAGTCTCTGTCAGCTTTATGATACTAACCACGCACCCAAAGAACACTTTAATCCATATCCAGGGTGATCTCGATAGAAACAGAGTCGGATTTTAAAATGTTCATTGCAACCATTTCATGAACTGTTTTACTTTCCAAGATAAATGACTTAATCACCTAGTAACATCATAGGTTTTGCAGGAATGCCATCTAAATCCAAGCTCCTGTAAACTCTGTAAATTTATATTTGAAGCTACAATTAAGAGTAATGCCTGATAGATTGAAGAAAAAGTATATGAAGTTATGTTACCCAAATGCCCTTAACCTTGCCCTGCAGAGATGATAGTTACAGTTGGTATAACAGAGATGATAAATACAGTTATTAAAATAACTGCATTTAAATATCCTATCCTATTAGGATCAAAAAAAAGTGTTTCTCCTTTTTTGTGTCCTACAGAGAAGAGAAAAAATTTCCAAAGTATTGTACTTGTGCATTCCTTCTGCTCGCTCAGAACAACAGCTGCACATACCTGTGGGCATAATTTTGCAGGTTGGACATTAACCAATATATCTGTCAGTCAGGGAGACATATAAATGATTTAAGTTGCACCTGTAATCGAATGTGCCTACAAAGTGGGGGCCAAAAAAACCCAGGCTGCAATTAAGAAATCTATCCCTCCTGGCACACCTCATGTGACTCTGATTTCTCATGCTATATGAAAATCTTGACCCTAGTGCACTATTCTGAATTTGAAGGGGCTGTTCATCACTGACAACATCAGGGAAGTCAGAATCAGGCCCAGAGAGTCTCAGATCATCAGACGGGTTCTACAAATGCGATGGCCTCCCCAGCCTCATTCCTAACATTGCTGCACCTTTTGTCAAGGCAGTTTCTTTGGCAAATGAGATTCATTCTTAATGTCTGATTTCTCAAAAGCAACAAAGCAGCCAACATCAAGGTGTAGCTGACTTCCCATGGACTGTCCCCAAGTTTTATGATTTCTCACAATAAAGCCAAGGCATGGACCAGTATGAGGGGTCAATTTAATGCAAGTGCCTTGTTCTCAGCATTGTCTGAACTGTAAGGAGGAGGGTATCGCAACCAGTATGTACTTACTGGCACAAATGCAAGTCTGCATCTGTCTGAACTGACGGAAGGAACACCCTGTGACTCCTTGAGGATGGTTACACGCCTCTATAGCGTAAGAAGCAGAATATCATCTCCTCCACCTGGAAATGAAGGAGCTGATCCTGTATGAGGTTGGTCCATCAGATTTGCTCCTCTTCTGACAGGGCTGCAGAACCCAACATTAATCTTGTTCACAAGAACATGGACTGAAATATGTACAGTGGAGAGAGAGATCAACTGTGTAATTTGCTGTGCTTTTTTGCTGTTTGTTTGATTGTTTATGGGACAGTTGTTTCCTCATTCTGGTTCTACACATTCGAGAAAATATGTAGTGGTTTGAATTGTCTACAGCTTTGCAACATCTTGAAACAACGCATTCAACTGCTACAACTTGAGCCAAAGGGAGGCAAAAAGAGACTGACAGTACATGGTGCTCATTCTATTTAAGATAGAGACTGGCAGATATACATATGATTGAAGAAAAGGCTCCTGAGTTGTTCTGCCTTGCTAGTCTTAGAAAATGTCAAACGGTGGTGTGGTTTAAACCCAGCCAGACAGCTTGTTCACTCACTCCCAGTGAGTGGTGCCGGGCTGGAAACAGTCGAGGCCCCCCCACCCCCTCCACCCCAGGGGCTCTCCCCTTCCCTGCTCCCAGAGGGATAGGGAGGAGAATCAAAAGAGTGCAACTCCTACAGGTTGAGACAAGAACAGTCCAGCAACCAATGTACAACACAAATCACCACCGCTACCACCAGCGACATCAGTGATAAGAGAAAATAACAAGGGAAGAGAATACAATACCATCTGCCAAGAAACGAGTCCCACCCAGAAGCCCGTGTCCTTCTGGGTGACTCCCAGTTACCCCCCACCCCGGGCATGACATGCTGCGGTATGGAATACCTCTTTGGCTAGCCTGGGTCAGGTGTCCTGTCTCTGCTTCCTCACAGCTTCCCCTCCTCCCTGGCAGAGCACGAGACTCACAAAGTCCTTGGTCAGTGTAAACATTACTTAGCAACAACTGAAAACATCGGTGTTATCATCACTGTTCCCAGGCTGAAGTCAAAACACAGCGCTGCACCAGCTACCAAGAAGGAGAAAAACTGACTGCTACTGCTAAACCCAGAACAAACGGGTTGATTTCTGCTGCAGTATGCTAAGTAACATAATCAGTGGAGCCCTCTTCTTGTCATACTCTTAAGTGTGCTAAAATCTTCTCTTATTCACGTGTGAGATGTGTATCTATGAGGTATAGGAAATACTATAACCCATATTTTAAAGGTGTCCACAGGCCACACTTTAAAGGGGGCATAATCTTTAATGCTGGGGGTAGAGAATAACTTGCTCAAAGTAGAAAATTTTGTCTGCATCAAAGTCACAGCTGCAAATCGTACTCTCTCTGCACATTACCTACCTGTAGATAGGACAGAAAAGGAAGGGAACTTCTACAGTCCTGACACAAGCAAGGCACATGAACTATCTAAATAAGCACATCTTCTAATACAACATGGTTTGTGAGGAGCTGGGCACACATTAGCTGAGCTTCTACATCCTTATCAGTCATTCCTAACCAACTTTCTTATCATAACTATTTCATATTGCTTCTGGTTGCTGCAACATTATGGCCCACAGGCAAGCAACTTGAATTTTTTAGCTCATAATTTTATGTATTTCTGTTTTATTGTTTCATTTTAAATCTCCATTAAAATGAGAACAAGGGGGAGGAAGGGAGGATAGTGGGAAATGAGCCCTTCACATGCTTATTCACCAAGCAGTTTTCTTAGGTTCTTAGAGGTCTAATTATGATATGAAAACATGATTTCCAACTTTGCAGATGATACTAAATTGGAAGAGAATAAAAACAAATGAGGAATAATTAGGTGGTGCAGCCAGATATAAAAGAATTTAGATCATTTTCTATTTCAGGAATAATAGATGGCAGATGCAGGGCTGTGCAGATAAATTCAGGATAATTAGCCTCACAGTGTGGCATAAAA